TTAAAGTGTTTAATTAATTATTAATTTTATTGGAGCTCAGGATTATAGGTCCATTAGTCCCCGCGTCGTCCTAGTAATTCTACCAGACACAAAAGGCAAAATGAGAATTTTAGAATTACGGAATTCTAAAATCAAACACTCAAAAATAAATAATTGAGAATTAATTATTATTTAAATAATGTGATTATTTAAATTTGAATTTGAACACATCTAGATTTATCCATTTAAACTTATATGATAAGTTGTTCAATTTAGAATTCAAATTAATTTAAGTTTGACTTAAATGGGAATTTGAATTTGAGTCAAAATTAGACTACAAGATAAAGGATGATTTTCTCTTCCTTCCCTATCTGATATTGGCGCCTACACAGGGATGAGAATCCCCTATCTTGGCCGGCCATAATGGCTAGAGAAAAAGAGGAGATTTTGTTTCAAATTCAAATAGGAGATAATTAACAAGCTTTCTCTTGGAGATAGAGATTGGATTCCTTCTAGAAGTTTGACTTCTACTCTATAAATAAGATAATGATAAATAATTTTTGAGACAATTTTTAAAACAATTTTTGCCCTAATTTGAATAGGGTGGCCGAAATTCTCTTAGAGCAAAAGAAGGAAGAAAATTTTCTCCAAAAATTCCACATCGTGCATGCGTTGGTGTTTGTGGAAATTCGAGTGTTTATTGTAACCCGTTTTGTCTCATGTGTGCCCACACACACGTCTTCGTGGATTCTAGGAATTGACGTGAAAGACATTGGTTTTCTAAACACAAAGCTTTGGAGCAAGGATTGTTTGAGGTCAAAGACCTTAAGTTATCAACCGAGTCGGCCTCCAGGTATTTTTTTCTAATTGAGTTCTTAATAAATGAATTAATGAGATTAATTTATTCGTACATAAATTAATATAATCTATAGAGTATCTCAAAGGTTCTATGAAAATGTTTGTTATACACGATCCGCCTCCCCCCACGCTTCCGCGTCTGAATTCGATTAGGAGACCAAAAGCCCCGGGGGTGCCCCAGGGGTCTCCCAGGGGTGCCCGTGGGTCTCCCGGGGGTACTCCGGGGGCGCCCCAGGCGTTCCCCGGGGGTGCCCCGAGGGTGTCCCAGGGGTGCCCCGGGGTTGCCTCATGGGTGTCCCGAGGGTTTCCCAGGGGTGCCCCGGGGGTCTCCCGGGGGTGCTCCGGGGGCGGCCCGGGCGTTCCCCGGGGGTGCCCCGAGGGTGTCCCGGGGGGGCCCCGTGGGTGCCCCGGGGGTG